TGCCATCTCAACAACTGTGGTGTGCCACAAGGAAGTGTTTAAGGCCCCCTTTTATTCTTGTTATATGTAAATGATTTGGGTTCTGTTCTGACGAAATGTAAATTTCATCTTTTGGCTGATGATACCTTGATATACTTCAATAGTAGTGATTTCGCTGATCTTATGAACACATTGAATGATGAAATAGATCAACTTTATTATAAATTTAAAATCAATAAACTTAAAGTTAATGAAACTGAAAGTAAATATATGTTTATTGGCAAAATAAATGATCAGCGGATTGAACGGGTTCAGGAAATGAGATATTTGGGATTCGTAATTGATACCCAACTAAAATTTGATATTGATTTGATATTGTTGAATTCAATCTACTTCCTCGTGAAATCAAAGAATCTTCGTCCATAAAATTATTTAAAACAAAATTGAAAGAATATTTTGAGTAACGATACACTTTTCATTGTTTAAATCCATATTCTGGTTAGGTTAGGTTAGGTTAGGTTAGATTTTAAAATGTATCTTCCGTTTCGTTCTAAACTTTTTTCTGTACTGAATCACTGGCAATTGTAAATATTTAAATATTTCATCTGTAGTACAAAATTTCGCTAACACTTATAATTCTTGAAATATGTTTTTTATTTTGATTTTCTTTTGAACAACCTATAAAGGAGGTTAGGTATAGCGGCATCTGCCCGCGAATAGCTCAAGCAATAGTTGATAGTTACGTACAGCGCCATCTGCCCGCGAATAGATCAAGAAATATCAATGAGATTAAGTACAGCGCCATTTGCCCGCGAATAGATCAAGCAATAATGCCGATAATTCTGTCAACACAGATTCCGAGCTTGAGAGTTACACACAAACATACATACTAACAAACATACATACATACATACAGGTGAAGACAATATAAAGCGTGTAAAAAGGGCCATCTTGTTAGAGCTACATCTGTCAAATTCTGCGTGGTGACTTGGGCCTACACCCGCCATCCCACGTACCGTTTGTAATGAGTCACCAGGACCATGAAAACTTCGTCCTGGATTCCTGTAGGTCGACCACTTCGGGGCTCATCTTCGAGACTAAAATCTCCGAAACGAAATTTCGCAAACCAACGTCAAACAGTGCGAATTGAGGATAGATTGCCACATGGTTTTCTCTGTGAAAATTTAGCTGACGAAGATAGCGAATAGCTCGAAAAAAATCTTCACACTTCATTTGGAATGATTTATCTCATGCAATATGTTGCACAGCTTCTCTCCCACATATTGGTCCACCCTGTAAGGCAGAGGTATCCTTGATTAGAATGCATAAATCGACGAAATCCTAGCGCAAATTCTCAGTGTGAAACCAAAAGTTCTTGCACATTTTCTAACCGACACATTGTCCATTGTTTCAGTCATTGCGAGCAGTTTCGTTGTGGCCCTCGTTAACATTCACACCTTTTGGCGCGTCTGCTTCTTTGTTCTTTGAGCTGAAGTTTTCGATCTCCTTAGATTTTAAAAGTGTTTCTAGTTGTGGGGCATTTTCAGCTGCTCTGTTTTTATTTGAATATGAGAGTGTTATGTGTTTGTGTTATATTTATCGTTGGATTTTATGCGAGGCATGTTTCCAGCTCTATCATCATAATTGAAGACGCCAAAGGTAATAGTAGTTGTTGAAGAAAGACTTTATAATGTGAATTTTCAAACCCCTATCTCGATCATAACACAGTTTGAGAGAAATTCGCCTAAATGGACTCTCCAAGAGTGGTTTTGACTGCTGATGAATTCACCACTTCATAATTCGTTTGTACATACTCAAACTGCTCTAAAAACTGAGGTAAATCAATTTCTCTTGAGGTTAATCTCAGTCCCTCTTATTGAACAAGCCCCGTTTATGTTCACGCTTGCATCAGTTTGAATAAAAAACTCATTACAGTAACTAGGAATTTCTGGAGCGCTTCAGAAGTTCTAAATTTTCATGGAATGGCAAAGAGAAACTTTGAAGTATATTTTTATGCTCGGTTTCCTATTCCTAAGTCTTACAGATATCAGAAGTTTGAATGAAATAACTTCCAGTTTTAAGGAGCTGATTTAAAAATATCATTCAATGAAAAATAATGCTAACGACTCTCATCAAGAATAATGATGACTTGAGCTGGGCAACAACGCAGTTTTACAACAGTTGTAGTTATTTGGAAGTTGCGTAGGGACAACTTTGCATGTTACTCAACAAAAGTAGTTTCTATTTGGCCTATTATTTGTTGATAACCAGTGAAGCTTTTTTACAGTACTTTTTCAAGGCATTTTGCATATGTATCGTGTATTAGTAAGATTTGTTGCTTGGTTTTTTTAGACAAACAAGATGGTGTAAAATGTAGTGCAAAAACTAACTCGTCATCTGATTGGAAAATTAGCACAGCGATATTTATGTGGGATAAGCATTATTTTCAATGTGTCTTTTTTTTAAGACAACACATAAGCACTACAAAAAGTTCTTAAGCCGCTTCTTAAGAGCGGTACCTGTGCGAAAGTGTCGATTCACACTAGATTTGTATCGCTGGAGATCAAATCCATTCGAAAAAACATTCTCAGGAGGTTTATTTTACATAAACACAGTTCTCTAAATGAAAGAGTTCTTAAACAATGAAGTTCAAGGTGTACTGAGTTGAACCTTAAAAGATGAGCAGCCGCAGTCCATCGCGTATTTCTAATTTGTACCGTTCTTGGTGGAATCAAATTTGTCACAAGTCACTTGAACGCCTCCCGTGAAAGTATTTATAAATGATTGAAAAATTTCCAACCTTTCTTCGATGTTCCAGACTAACAAGGTTGCAAGTGATGTAAAAAATGTGGATCTTCCTCCAACTCTGCCAGCGCCCATTCCCCAAATGTTAGACGTTGTGGGAGGTCGTGTGGCCTCAATTCTTGCACCAGCTGTATCTCATAAGGTTTTACACCCAAATCCATTCGCAAAACTTTCCACGTAGTGGAGTAACATAGGCCCAGTTGCTGCGAACGGCGGCGAATCGACATTTCACGGTCATCACGAACACTGGCGAATACAGCCGCAATATTTTCTTCGGTCCTCACTTTACGTATGCGTGTTGGTGGTTCAATGTCGAATAATGTAAACTGGGTTCGAAATTTAGTCACAAGCTTCCGAATTGCTCCCTCAGTAGGCCGACGAAACTGCCCATAAATTGGAAGAAGTGCACGATACACTTTCTTCACCGAGCATGAATTTGGTATTAAAATTCAATAATTTGCAAGCGTTTTTCATTCGTTAGTCGATTCATAGTTAAATTATAGACCAAACTGAACAAGTTTGACAATGACACAAAACACGATTCACGTGAGATCTGTCAAAAACAGTGTTGCCAAAAAGATACCAGCAAGAAAAACACTCATTGCAATAAAAAAATTTGTATCGATTTCTAAAAACTTATTAGGGACCAGTTTCTGTAGTTCTGTTCAATCAAATATTTTCTTGAACTAAAACCAGCCTTAATTCAGAGTGTACTCTGAATCAGTTTCAAAGGTTGTTACCAATAAGAAATACCAATTCTGAATTCGGTAGAAAATGCGTAGAATTCTTCTGAACTTCAATGTTCTTCCAAGCAGAACTCAATCTACAGTTCACAATAAAAATGAGTATGCGGAAGAATTAGATACGTGTCTGATGTTCCTGAAAACTCCAGCCAACCAGTGGTCCCACACACCAAAAAAACAACACTTTTCGCGCGTTTCACTAGCCAAGTTGACGTCATCAGGAGTTGAACTATACTGTAGTGTAGCACATCGAGAAATGTTTTGCAGTTTTGGTATGTGGAATAACTGCCAACGATGAATTAACAAATGATGTTGAACGATTTTTTAACACAGAAAAATTCGAAATGGCATGAAAGAACTGTTTGTTGAATTGATCTATATTATCATATTTTTGTTGATGAGACAAACTCTGAAATAGCTCTCTTTGAAGTTATATGTGAATATTTTTTGTATAAATTTCCTGTATAAAACATGGTAGTTTCTTGGGAATGAATAATTGTTTATTGTTTATAATTATTTACTTCTGCCTGGCTACCTCACGGTTACACATGTCGAATAATTTCCTCAGCATGAAAATTATGTGCTCGGGATTCGATGAAGTCGAGGAAGGCCATGTATGTCTGCTCCTGATTGGCGAAGATTCTACCGGTGGAAACATAATAGTCACTTGGCGAGAGGTCGCGGGAGTATGGTGGGTGGAGCAGAACTTCCATGCTCAATTCATTCAATTCTCAGACGGTGCTGGATCGTGCGGACGTGCGTTGTCGTGGAGCAACTGATGACAAGCCGCTGGTCTTTTTTTGTGTGTGTTGTGCCTTTGGGAAGTAATTGGGTGGCTCATTGCTGTCCAACCACTGTTCTGAATGTCTTCTGTTGTCGTAGAGGATCCATTTTTCGTCATACCTAACGATCTGATCCAAAAAAAGATCGTTTTGGTGGCGCAAAGGCAAAGAAGAACAGACTTCAAAACGTCAAAATTTGTGTCGATTGTTCTAATCTTGGGGCACCCACATTTTGATTTTTTGAATTTTCCGGTACGTTTGTATTGGGTCAGTCTCCCCCACAGTTCTCAAATCCTCGTCCTGGATTACTGTAGGTCGACCACTTTGAGGCTCATCTTCGGGGAACGAAATTTTGCAAACTATCGTCGAACAGTGAGTTCATTAATACTTTCATTGCCAAAAACCTGGTTAATTTTTTGACAGAGCTCTGGTTCAATTTAAATTCGTAGAGAAAAAGATACAAAAAAAACAAAATTTGGAAAAAATCAACAACATCATTGTTGTTATTCCAAAAAGTGAATAAGAATGTACACTGACTAATTTCGTTTACTAGTAAAACAGTTACCTAGTTCAGTTTACTTATTACTACTATTATTATTCCACCGAGCAGACTTTTTTCGCGATGACGCCCAAAGACGGCTTGCTTTTATTATTATTACCTCTGTGATGCAAATTGTTTCCTAATTTCCAGCGTGCTTTCGGAGAGTTTTGGCAGGAAAGCGAGTGTCTCAAATTTTCGTCAAGAGGGCTTTGACATGCGAAACAGTCGAAGAATGTCAACGAGAATGCGCGGACGAGAAACGTTTCAGCTGCGAAGGCTTCAACTACAGGTATGCTAATAATAATAGTAATAATTTTTATTATCTTTCCGACAAACGAAAGTTGGTATCGAATTAGCCAGATCTCGAACCTAACCTTGAACCCAACCTAAATGGAAATCGAAATTGACTAGTAGGAATTAGAAATAGGTGTTTTCATATACAGGGTGTCCCATAAATCATGGTCCAACATTAAGGAGGTGGCAGGTCATTTAAGATGAAATAGTTCACATAACTGGGGGTCTGATTCCTCACGATTTTTGATTAATTTTTATTTTTGTGACCTTTACGATTTTGTATGGAAATGCTCAGAAAAAAAAGCTGATTCAACTTTTTATTTCGATATAATAGCCGAATGAATCAAACTTTTATAGGGTTCAATTTTCCGCCCTGTACTTGTCATTTAGTACCAGTTTGGTATTGATTCACGGGTTGGAATGGTAAATTGAATATTAATTGTCTCATTTGAGCTTCCTGGAAAATAAGAAGAGCAACGGTTTTCACAATTTTTATCAACCTACTTGGAAACTTGCGCAGAAATATAAAAGAAGATGGAAAGAAAGTAGTGGAAGAATCTCTTGGTCATTGTGGTCTCCGGATCAGAACCCTCTTGATTTTTTTCTGCATAAAAGAACGGATCTATGAATAATAATGTAGTAATGAACAAAATTGCGGGAATGAAGTCATCACCTATTTTAGCCATGACTTATAAGTCACCCTGTATGTGAGGTCCAAATTCTACTTCGTACTTCAACCGATTTGGTTAAGTTCTCGTTTGATGACGTCAGATAATAAAACCGAAACAGTAAACATTCAAACCAAGATAGGATGTAATTTGAATGGTAAAATTATAATGATGAGACTGATTTAGCTCTGATAAGAGACTTTGCGGTGTGATTCAACAATTGTGTTGTAATTGCCTTTCATAATTTGTTTTTCAAGGTGAGGTAATTTGATAGAAGTTCTCACGATTTGTTTGAAAACATAAGTTAGGTGTTAAAGTTTACGAAACTAATATTAAAATGGAACTTCAGTTTGCTGTTCATTTGTTACCAGGTTCAGTTCCATTGAAATGCCAAATGATAAGTGTAGGGCCTAACACTGAACCTTGTGGAAGAATCATTCCTAATTTCTCGTTACTCAATTCCTCAAACTTAGATTTTTCAAAAAAATCACAGTATCAAGTTTCAACATTCTGTAACACCTGATATCGCAGCAAGAACGATATATGATTCTCTCCTGAAATGGTCAAGGAATAAACCAAGCGAAAGCATGGGCATTGGTCATGTTAACATCATTGAACATTGACATTCAATGTTACCTCTACACTCACAGCAATATATTCGATGACATTGATTGAAAGAAGAGACAGCATTGAATGACCACCACGATCACCATATCTATCGCCCTTGATTTTTCACCTCCAAAGTGTAATCAGAGTATCGTAATGAAGATACATAGACGATTTCTTTGCTTCTCAAGTTCTTCTCTGAATTGTTGTACTTCAAAACTATAAATAACTAGGACATATGACACCAATCGGTTCTTCTTTCAGGCTAGACCCTTCGGGTCGCGGTAAAGGAGACTGCGAACTCATCAACCAACCCCTATCTCGACTAGACATCGGCAGAGACCTCTACCCAGAACGCGACTACGACTACTACGAAAGGGACCGCAACGCAGCGCCTCTCAACTGCAACAGAATTCCAAGTGGCTATGGGTATGGAGGATATGGTGGCTACACGGGAGGAGAAAGTCACTATGGAAGCTACGACCATAGATACAGAGGTGGAGGAGGTTATTATGCTGACAGGAGATTTGACTATGAAGGTTTGTTTGAATGTGGTTGACAATGTTTCGTGGTGTATTTCACTAGTTCGGACTAATATGATTCGAAATCTATGAGAGAAGAAATCAAATTAGAATGAATAAGCAACATATCAATTATATTAAGCAATATTATAGCAGGTTTTCGGCACCTTTTATCATCCCTTTCTAGTTACAGGCCATAGAAGACCTGCCAACGACTACGGCCCTTCTGTCTTAAGGCGACCAGGTGACCGATGGTCAGATGACGACAGATATGACAGAAGACGTCCCAGCTATGATTATGACAGGAGAAAACCACATTTCCCATACGACAGAGATTACCCATCGAGTGGAAACAGAAGAGGAGGTAAATATCTTCCAGAACCCGTAGGGTTGGACGTTTTGTGTGTGAAGTTAGCCGCATAGCACGTAGATGTAGCCCTGGCAGCACTATGGTATACTCTAGATCAGTTGTTTTCTAGGCGGAGTGATCCAAGTCAAGGATTTCTACGCTGATCTGCTTTCACTATCTATTAGTTATCTATCTGTGAATCTGTACAAACTGTATACTTTTTTTATACCTCTCTTCGACTTCTGTGCCCTTCTGGTTCCAGCTAATTGTGTTTGAATTGATTTTTTCTTCATCTGAAGATCAACAAAACATAAACCATTTTAATGTCAACCATATATAGCCCTTCAACACAATGAATGGTAATGAAGAATTAGATGTCTAGCTGTCTAGATGTCTATCTGTGAATCTGAACAAACTGTACTAAACTGTACAAACTGTATACATGTTTTTGAATACTCTTTCTCTAGGCTTTTGTTATACTGGCCACATAGGTTCATTCTGCAATTGGAAAAAATAGAAAAACAATAGATGATATTGAGAAATTTAATGTCTTTCTGTGAATCTGTACAAAACCTTAACAAACGGGACTGTATTGTACAAACTGTACTGTACTATACAAACTGTACTGTACTGTACAAACTGTACTCTACAAAATGTACTACTGTACAAAAACTGTACAAACTGTATACTGTATACAATTTCCAATCATATGTTGACATACAACTTTCTGCAATTCGGAAAAAAAAAGCAATAGATAATGATTAATGAAATGTCTTTCTGTGAACATGTACAGACACTTTACAAACTATACTGTACAAATCGTACTGTACAAACTGTACTGTAAAAATTGTACTGTACAAACTGTACTGTACAAACTACAATGTTTTTGAATACTTTTTCTCTACTTCTGTGAAGGCTTTTGTTCTTCTGGGTTCCCATTATTGTATTTGAATTGATTGTCTCCTACATCAAGCAAATACATACTGTGTACACGCGTGAGGGAGCTATTAACAGATTACAAAACCACAACACCTGTTTCGTTATACAATAGTTTCTTCAGGCATGTACATACTATGTACATACAGATACTGATATACATAGTATGTACATCATGTACATACTATGTACAGATACATGTACATAGCATGTATATGCAATTTACATGCCTGTGGAAGCTATATAAAGAAATCTCAACCTGGCTTGCTTAGCCTCTATCAATCGTTACCTCCAACTCACCATGTATAACCTTTATTCATATATTAAAGACTATAAAAAGTAACTCGTCGTTTTTTTTTCAGACTTCACCCATCCACATGAACCCCAACCTCACTTTTACGAAAACGACAGAAGGTACCACGGAACCCGCCCTCTAAAACCAGACCCCCACGAACCCTATTTACCCCCTCGGTACCACGAGAATCAAAAGTACTGGGACTCTTCAAGATACGGCGGGTCTTTCAGACCTCCAGAGGGTAACAGACGGAACTACTACCTTCCCCCGAAAAAGGAGGGTACCAAAGAGTGGGGACATTACAGAAATGAGTACCACCGGTACGGGAATAAGCAGAGTTATAATTACTGGGGTCTAAGCAAATATGGAGAGACGCATGGTAGTTCCGGTATTGGAGGGGGTTATTTGCCTCCCTCGAAAGACGGTGGGGTCTTGTCGATAGTACCGAAGCCCGGTGGGCTAGGAGGCGGGAGTTATTTGCCTGTTTTGGACAACGCTCTATTGCCAGCCGAACCAAGGAGGCCACCTACGTACAATTTCATACGAGACGGTAATGTGTACTTCGCATTTTAGTAGTGTTTAGTAGAGGGGGAGATGTTCAAGGTAAAAAATGTATAGCTTACCCGTGTAGCACAAGTGTGGACGTGGTGAAAGTATGAAAAGAAGGTATCGTACGTACTGGGGACTAGGGTCAATATACGTCTTATGGACTTTTACTTGGTGTGTCCAGAACCCGCACAAATGGACGTCCTCAGTACGTAAAATGAATACTTTTGTGACTGCCTTGAAGGCAGTTTCATATGTCAAAATGACTTCAAGGCGGAAAATGCGTTGGATGCTAACATTTTGGTCGTTCAAACAATGAGAAAACTATTATTAGATGAGATGAAAAGTTCGTAGGTTGACACACAGATGGCACTACCGATGTTGAATCCATATGGTTTTTAGGTTAAACCTAACCTTCAAAAGATACAAATCAGTTTGTAGGATAGTAGCCCCAATTGAAGAAAAAAAAAGTACTGTTTCATCAAGATAGTGCATCGTGTCACAAATCATTAGAAACGATGGCAAAATTTCATAAATTGAGCTTCCAATTACTTCCACATCCACCGTATTCTCCAGCGACCCTTTTCTGTACAGGTTTGATGTAATTCAGTCAAGGTCAAGGACAAATTCATTCTCTACACCAGGGGTCTCCAAACTACGGCCCGCGGGCCAAATCCGGCCCGCCAGTGTCATCAATCCGGCCCGCGACATGTAGGATTCTGACCAAAAAAGTCAAAGGTATTTTTATTTTCTTACATTTATTACCACCCAGAGCCACAATAAATCATCACGGGTTGCAACCGAGGTTCGAAAATGCCCATTTACTTGTACTTTGGACCCAACTACCTACCTAGTACAACCTGTTATCAAAGTTGGTCTGACAATTCCACTTACATTCTGCACTGCTTCCCATTTCATCTTTAATAACCATTGAAGGTCTCCAGAGCCACAGTTAGGTTAAAAGTTGACTCATCATGACAGGAAGAGCAAGAGATTCAATACTGCAAATTGTTATGACATCCACCCCACTCACCAGACTTGACACCCCTCGATTACCACCAACGCCGAATCTTGAAATTTGTGACTCGACCCCATCATGGCATTGCCGTCTACGCCCCTGTTTCACAAGTTCCATTAAATTTTCACTCATTCATAGGTATTCCACAACCATCACAATATACTATAACTCAGTCAAACTGTTACCGAACGTACAACACACCTCTCAGAAAGAGGGTCACCATCGAAAATAAGAGCTTTGGTAACGGGTGGCCCATGTCAAAGTATCGCGATATGTTTTTCAATGTATCTATTCCAAAGTAAAAACTTTTTTGAGGTTGAGCAGGCAGTTTGACGTACACTGTGTCACACGAGTCTTGAAAAATGAAGTGCCACCAGATATTATAAAGGGCCTTTGACACCACATTTTACAGATAAACTCGCTACAAGGTTTATATAGGGACATTCGAACCTTTGGCCGTTAGGTTAGGTGAGGTTAGGTTAGGTTAGGTTAGGTTAGGTTAGTTTAGGTTAGGTTAGGTTAGGTTAGGCTAAATTGTAGACATAAAAGGTTGGACTACTTTCTGACGCAGTTTATGACAGGTCACGGCTCATATAGGACTTACACACATAGAATTGGAAAAAGTGAGGACGATAAATGCGTGTACTGTGGTTTGAGGGACACGCCAGAACATACCATCTTTGTGTGTGACAGGTGGGCTCGGGAACGCCTTCAGATAGAAATTCAATTGGGAACGGCGATTACGATCAGAGAAATTATGAACATCATGATTGAAAAACTGCACAACTGGAATGTATTACACAGTTACATAAGGAAAATTATGTCCGAAAAGGGAAACGAAGAACGAAGAAGGCAAGGGATCTGATTTCTGATGATTTTAACAGTTTGCCAGTCTAACCCGAAGTATGTCAACACTGACTTTGATTCCGGGGTAGACAAACGTGGCGAAAAGAAAGTCTTCAACAGAGGGCGGACAGTTGTAAAATTTGTTTCGAAGTAGACAGAAAATTTGCAGTAATAATTTCAAAAAACAATTCAGTCCTGATGTTTTGATTTGAAGTTTCATTCTAAATATTAATGGACTGAAAATATTTTTNGGGTTCCCATTATTGTATTTGAATTGATTGTCTCCTACATCAAGCAAATACATACTGTGTACACGCGTGAGGGAGCTATTAACAGATTACAAAACCACAACACATGTTTCGTTATACAATAGTTTCTTCAGGCATGTACTTAATATGTACATCATGTACATAGTACATACTATACTGTACAAATCTTACTGTACAAACTGTACTGTAAAAATTGTACTGTACAAACTGTACTGTACAAACTGCAATGTTTTTGAATACTTTTTCTCTACTTCTGTGAAGGCTCTTGTTCTTCTGGGTTCACATTATTGTGTTTGAATTGATTGTCTCCTACATCAAGCAAATACATACTGTGTACACGCGTGAGGGAGTTATTGACAGATTACAAAACCACATTTGTCGATAGTACCGAAGCCCGGTGGGCTAGGAGGCGGGAGTTATTTGCCTGTTTTGGACAACGCTCTATTGCCAGCCGAACCAAGGAGGCCACCCACGTACAATTTCATACGAGACGGTAATATGTACTTCGTATTTCAGTAGTGTTAAGTAGAGGAGGAGATGTTCAAGGTAAAAAATGTATAGCACAAGTGTGGACGTAGTGGAAATATGAAGTATGGGGACTTGGGTCAATATACGTCTAATGGACTTATTACTTGGTGGCTCCACAACCCGCACAACTGCCTTGAAGGCAGTTTCATATGGAATAATACTTTCAATATGACTTTAAGGCAGAAAATTCGTTGGATGCTAACATTTTGGTCGTTCAAACAATGAGAAAACTATTATTAGATGAGATGAAAAGTTCGTAGGTTAATACACAGATGGCGCTACTAGTGTTAAATCCATATGGTTTTTAGGTAACCCTAACCTTCAAAAGATACAAATTAGTTTGTAGGATAGTAGCCCCAACTGAAGAAAAAAAATTCTGTTTCATCAAGATAGTGCATCGTGTCACAAATCAATGAAAACGATGGCAAAATTTCATAAATTGGGCTTCCAGTTACTTCCACATCCACCGTATTCTCCAGTTCTGCCTCCCAGCGACACTTTTCTGTACAGGATTGATGTAATTCAGTCAAGGTCAAGGACAAATTCATTCTCTATACAGTCATATCTAAAGTTTTATTAAAAAAGTTTCAGAAGTTCTTGACAAGATTTTTGTCTGTAAATTTGGGAAAATGGTATTAGCGTTTTATAATCTCATATTGAAAAAAGACAAAGGAAACCGCATTTTGCCAAATTCAAAAGAGTTGGCGTATCGTTAATTATGTATGATAATGTGAAGTGTTTGAAAAAAATTGAGGTTAGGTTTTTGCTGATAGTAGAGATTTTTGAGCAACTTCAACATTATTTTATGAAAAACACTGTTAAACACCCTATACAAGTGGAAACAATCCGACTATAACTGTGATAATAAACATTGTAATTGTAATAAACATTTCCATTTTCTTTGCCATATTCATACCTTCAAAAACATTATTGCGGCCTCTAGAAGAACGTTAACATTTTTTTTCATTTGGTAGAGTATGATTACAGTGACTATAAATATACTCCAAAAGATATTTTGTAGATGATACTTAACGAATTTAAGAATTAACTCCCTTAAACAAATTTATTTTTAACAAATTAATTTTACAACATTTAGCAACTAACGCTTAATTTATCTTCACAGTTCGAATTCTTTATTTAAACGTACGATTCACTTTCTAGACACAGACTCCCTCTCGGGACGGGAGGCAGGCTTTATATATCGGCAACGATCACTACAGATCTTCTAGTCGTTTCGGCACCCATCTATAATTTTCGTGGCGGTTCGTCGATTGCATTCCTTTCGCGGTGAGTCATATCTCTGCCGGCTGAGATATCAGTCAGGGCCGGCTTCAGATTCATTACAATACCATAGAATAAGAAAACAAAAACAAATGTTGTTATCTTTGTCTCCTTCACCTTATGTATGGTTAAGAAAATAAATGATTTTGAAGTTGAATTAGATGTAGCGAAACTTTTCTCCTGAATTATGTGATTTACAGAATGCTCCCTGAGATCTGCCACAGGGTTTCGTTTGCACAAAGGAATAGTGAAAAAGTTTTACGCTGTTCCAAACATCTACGAATGCGAACTGCTGTGTTTCAAAGAGAGAGATTTCCCGTGTACGTCTTACGCCTACAGGTGAGATTTGTAATTCAAAAAACCACACCAAGCACCTTAGCAATATCATGTCCACCTCTTGTGGTCCTAAGTCGCTGATAACTCTATATTCTATAGATATACCGTGACTTTATCTGCGCCTACAGACAACTGCTACCTGAGCAACAGAAACTACAAAGAGCTGGACTTCTACACGGATCTGGAACCCGACAGAGACTTCGACATTTACACTATGAACAACAGAAACAGATGCGAGGAACCTATAGTTCAAGGAAGAGACAACAGCGGTACGAAACAAACAACTCCTTCTCGTTTACATTCTCAAACAATTTCTTTCAGATTGCTTCTGGCGTGTCAGAAGTGGCCAACGCTTGGACCACAAGGTCGTCAGGGACTCGTTAACTGCCAAATCCATAGTGGACTGTCAAATCGAGTGCTTGCGGTCCTCTAGATTCACCTGCCGCGCTTTCAGTTACAGGTAATGCATACACGATCGTCTTGAGCGGCCCCGAAGTATGTTCTTGTGGCACACCAATTCTTTCTTCTCTATTCTTTGTCAGATACGGTTCTCCTGTCATCGGTGGATCCATAGACAACTGCCAATTAACAGATTGGCCATTCTACGAGCTAGATCAGAGGATACATTTCATTCCAGAGCCGGGTTTCGAAGTGTACGAAAGAGGGAGCTATGGCCACGGATGTGAGCCTGATCATTTCGGAATAAGGGGGCAACACCGAAAAGACGAACATAGGTTATCTGAAGCTGATCAATGTAAGAGAAATTGGTTTCGTTACGATTGATTGACCAGATTTGGTTTCTATTTCTAGTATGCTATATTGGATTCGGATCACCTGCACGCTTACTGCCACAAGCAACGAGAAAATCTTTGTACACTCCTTCTGAGCTCTTGTGCAAAGAAGAATGTTCCAAGGCAAGACGAACCACGCTGTTCCAATGCATGTCTTTCAGTTTCCGGTAAGAGCGAACGATTTTTTGGGTACCCCAAGGCTCAATGCTTGGCCCTACGAACTTATCGACTTATAAATTGACTTGAATACAATGCGCTGATTTCTTTGGTGTGTTTAGGACCGGTGGAGATAAAACTTTGCCAAACTGTTACTTATCGGACATATACCAGAGGGATTTACTGGTGAACATGGATTATGTATACGATCATGATTTCTGGTTGTTCGCGTGGGATAATTATAACCCAGAATGTGTGGCCCTTGCGAATGAACCGAAAGATAATCACATTGGCGGAGGTAGTATAGACAGACAGGGTAAGTTAGATCACTCCAATAGTTTACACAAAACAAGCTTCCTAGAAATAAGCAACATTTTTGAAGCGACATATATGGTCTTAACATCCACTATTCACAGAATTCTGCGGATAGTTATTCAGCTCCATCTTCAGAATTTTATACTGTATACTGCAGATTTCCTCATTGTCTTTATCCCTCTCTTAACAATCTAATCAAAAATACTGTAAACCCTCATCAATTTCTTCTCTTAATCCAGAATAATAACACGTTGTAGGACTACTACATGTTCAGCCCATATGGTTTTTCAACTTTCTATGTTAGATGCATAATGAAGATTGCCATATTTTCAGATTCCTTACATGGTTTGGACACCTGGAAATTGTACAGCGTCAGCGGATGGCCTTGCAGAAGAGGTGCTCTCTGCCAAGAAAACAGAGAAACTGGGTTCTGGTTCTGCGAGTTAGAAGGAGGAGAAAAAGGGGCTTGGGACTACTGCTGTAGGCCTGAACATCAATGCGGATCTTCTCATGGATATCCATATCAATGGTAGATACATACATATAGTATTTCTAATACCAATTGGAACAGCACAGAGAAGGAATTTCCGCCTCGACATAGGCGTCGGCATATTATTTTTTAGTGGTAGTTTTTCAGTTACTCATTTTTACAATCTTAGCAATTGATCACCCCATGAAAAAGTTATCTCAACTGAAATTTTCCACCATGGGATATTTAAGGTAGTTGATTTCCGAGTCGAAAACTCTAAAATACAATGAAAACACAAATAATCACATCGAATTCTCGTCAAACATATATTTACGAAATTATAGAGGCTAATAAAATTGCTAGAAAAATCAAAATTCTTCTTCGCTATATTCGGATGAGGTGGAATCATCATCGGGTTGAATAACGATCGGATTTATGGAACTTTGTACATATTTGTTCTCTTCTTTTATAACGTGGGCCACACAGTTCTTCCACACATCACTATTACCTACCTACTTCATTCACCACTCGCCTTATATTGTCAAGCACCACAGCATTCAAAGTCGGTGACTGATTACATTTCCGCAAGCTTTCTTTCATTGTGGCCCAAACCATTTCAATTGGATTGAACACACAATAGTATGGAGGCAAACGTAACAGAATATGACCACGTGTTTCACACATCGAATCAATAATATACTTTTTTTTGAAATAACGTTGTTTTATGGTCGCCAGTAATACCTTTTTCGTTGGAATCTTTTTGGGTATTTCCATGTCATGATTTCGCATAAAATCAACAATATCTGCTTTTTTTTGTGTTATTGTTTGGTATTGTAGTCAATAATCGAGAATGATACGAAGCGTTATCCATAACAATAACCGAGTTTGCATCTAGCTGCTCACTGAACCAGGTTTCGAATAAAGCTGCAGTCATATCTTCGTGGTAATTAGCAGACGGATCTTTTATATTTTTGGCCGACAGAAGCAAACTTCCCAATGATCTTAAATGTAGTGACTCCATTTTAATTTCTTTAAAACCGTCTAATTGAATATCTGAAAGAAAAATATGTTTGAGTTTAACATATCTTCCACATTTATATCAGCTTTTCAGTTCATTGGTCTATCGAGAGTTGTACACTCCATCCTCTGATTTTATTTATTTTTATTATTCTTGTTATACTTTTGCTTGTATTTTCAAAATGTGATTGTTATAACAGTATTATGTATATTAGGATTCCTATATTAATAAATGCTCTTATCTTATCTACATCGGACCAAAAAACTGTAGGTATATAAACAGCTAACTCTTGTCTTTAGATTCAGTATCAATTTGCTTCTCCTGAAGATGCTAACCTCGTTAGCGAAACGCGCGTCGAGTGCAAAAATATCAGTTTAGTGTTAGGGTAATTGATCTCTAGAAAAAGTTTTCAAAAATCGGTTTGCAAAACCACTCACTACCTCACCTAACCCCACGAACACACGGCACTGATAAAGAAATATTGTGAAACGGACAAGAAATTAGTATTCAGCCAGTCCAGCTAGCCGAGCCTTTATTCCTCAACTACATATTTAATAGCACGTTTACTAACTATCTGGGCGACTAGGGGCCACAGGAAAGAAATGTTTATGACTGTACTCTTATTTTAATTGCCGTTCCAATTTGGAATGGACAGACTATACATAAATAACCTTGTCTACTCACTTGATGCGCTAAAATGCATCCTTCTGGGCAAATCGAAAGTATCCTCATCCTCAATATTTTTTTAATGTTGCCTGAATATTATTTGAGAGGTGATTTCTAATCATTTATAGGCTTCAACTCCCATGGAATCATAAAACTGTTCAAAATCAATCAAATAAAAATGAAAATACTTTCTTTGCTAGACTATTTTCGACGGGCCACCTGGTATGTTGCGTATCCAAAAACGAGACTACAACATAGCGAAATAATTCTCGCTTTTACATGAATAATAATATACGAGATACTTTGACAAGTTTGACAACTGACATGAATGACATATTGTCATTTTTTTCATTGAATATGTTCGAATAACTTTGCATTCGGATTATGCACCAAGCTTTCCTTCAACCATATTGTTCAATCGTTCACATTCACATAACGTTTCCTTCTTTGTTTTTGTTACATTACCTAGCAGGGGAGGAACCACTAACAGTTCCATAATTTCAGGTGCTACGTGGGTCCATCTAAAACCCAATGGAGGAAATGCAGTGATCGCTACTTTCCTTATATTCACAACGTGATTGACCGGCTAGATCATGTGAAACCATATCTACCCGGTTCTCAAAAACCTTGGGTACCATCCTCGCCACCGGTTAGACCGGGAGGACGACCAGACAGGCCCCCGGCCCCACCCCGGGAACCCCCTCCAAGGCCCAGCCTGAATCAGTACGAGATGATTTTTGACGAAGAGTTTTTGGACCCTCCAAAGCCAGGTTAGAACGATGTCGCAACTTTTCAATTCGAAAAATTGTCCAAAAATTACAAATTTTTAATTAACCGGATTCTTTGAGGTTTTGCATGCACCACACTTTTACTTTAACAACAATTTACAATTTCAAACTCACCATTGAAGTGAAAGTTTGGTGTCTGAATCAACTTCGAGAATCAGTTCGACATTAGTATAAGATCACTTCCTGGTACTTAGTCTCTACCAACTAACAACTATGCACCTTTTCATCCCAGAGTTAGAGGTCAATGTTGGTCCTCTAACTGAATGCTTTTGTTTGGATATTGTTCATTGTTCTCTCGTAATTTTTCATAAGCTGCCACTACTTAATCTGCTCCCCAGGTGGTTTTGGTCAACCCAGACACTGGCCGGTGTCGTACCTCCACAAAGAAATGCCTCCTAACACGACAGACTCCAGACTCATGCGCATGGAAGAAGAAAACCCCAAATTCGCCGCCATACAGAATCTGATCAACGTTATCAAAAGCAACGACCTCAACAACGTTCAGTACCACATCTCAAACGAATCAAACAAAGCCGATGACATTCTTTTCGTGAAGATCCCTCTGCCGACAAACTTCACGAGAGAAGCGGTTTCCAGCAACAGCAGCGCCACCTTGCTGCGAGCGTCTCCTGAGAAAGAAAGCAGCATCGGTAAGAGATCGGGAAAGTTCGTTCAGGGCCTACCCAGATGGAGCGAAGTCGAGAAATCTACCGAGTCGACTGAAGGGTTCGACAGAGGTTCGAAACCTAGTCCCGTGTATAGGAGGGGCTTCGTAACACGGACTAACGTTACTGGTCGTGGAAGTTACAGATGATGGATTTTTATCTTGTGCAGAAAAGGTCAGTTCGGGTCGATTTCAATTTCAAGATGACTCATTAAAAAATCAGTAATCTTGCATTCATGTAAATTGTAACTGAATAGTAAAGTTATGAACTTATACCAAACCTTTTCTTCTCTTAGATCGGAACTTCATTAGCCTTATGATGAAAGATCATTATCTTGTATCTTGAATACATCGAATGAATTTGATTTCATTAGACTATAAAAATAATGTTGGTTGCCACACACATCAAACACAATTTTGTTTTTAAGGATACCACAAAAGATAGTCATTCTATTTGAAATAGTTTGGTTTTAGTTGGTAACTTGTCCGCAAGATGTCGATAACATGGCAGATACTTTATTTTCTAGTTTCCTACTGAATCGGAATATACTGAATATACTAATCAATATGGAACACTGTAGAATTCATCGCCATCTATTTGTCAGGAATTGAACTTAATTATACTGTCACCTTTTTTTCAGACGATTCTTCTCGAAGGGAGCCCAAATTTTCTTAGATCTCCGTAAATAAAACTTCATCATCACCAAATTATCTTGTGTATTGTAAGCCTACTTAGATATAGTTCAACAATTTATTACTTTAGTCATTATTTATAAAATAAATGAAGCTACCTCAAAAATAGACATTTTACTTTCCAAAAAATAAAAAACGTCGCGTCACGTCAGTGCGTAAAGAGAAATTAAACATGGTGACATAGCACAAGGGCACTGAGCCGTATCTTCATCAATAATTGAACCTTAACGTGCAGCACATCAAATGGAAGGGAAACGAATGCAGAATTCATCGACAAAGAAAAAACCAAAGATGATGCCAAGCAGGCACTAAGTTGTATTTCCCTGTAGATAAATTCTGCATTCCTTCTCCTATCCTTTGATGTGCTAAACGTGACAATACGACTCTTATTAGCTAAAATAGAACCTAGTGTCCTCGTGGCATCAACTTTGTTTTTTTTGTGGATGAATTCTGCATTCGTTTCCCTTTCATTTGATGTGCTGCACGATGAGATCCAACCATTATTAATGAAGATACGGCCTAGTGCCTTTTTGAAGTCACCATCTTTGATTTTTCTTTAGTCTACACTGACGTCATCACCTTCTCTCTCATTCACACATACATATTGCATCGTATAACTCTCACACTTGTCACACCTACCTCGAGTTGGGTGTTCCACAAGGTTCCGATCGGAGGTCCGAAAATGACTGAAATGAAGCGCAATAAGAATAAACGTGGGATTTTGAGCTAGAAACCGCATAGCTCATATACTCACGTATTCGGTTTTATAGACCAGAGAGGTTTGGTTATGCGTTGTCTGCGAGGACGTAGGTAATATCTCATCGTTACTCGTTATAGGGACTTCGAGATATTACCTTCATCCCCCCAGTCAGCGTATATGTATATAATATTCAGAAGTTCTGCAAATACAAACTTGTTATTAAAACATCGTGATTCTTTCAGAAGACAAAGGCAGATGGACTCAGTTTGTACAAACTTCTCAAAGGCGCCCAATATGGGGCGCGAGTTTGATGAGAAGTATTGTCTTGTTTATGAAATGATAAGATAAAATTCTATAAACATTAGCCTCCATTTTTATGACACACTTCAAAAGTAAATGGCAATATTAAAACCCTTCAAACTTCTTCCCCTCCAAGCCAATATCGAAACAAGAATCTAGACCCTGTCAACAGTGATAAAAATACATACTTATCTGTCTGATAGCATTTATTACTATTTGCCGATATTGAAGATATTTTCAAATTTTTCTTTCGTTATTTCAAAATGGGAGAAGACTGGAGGAATGGAATTGGATAATAATAAATAAACCTGTTACACAGACTTTATTATGGCACAAAAATACACTATCAAGGCACGTTTCAAGCTCTACTCTACGATAATCTCTCTAATGACATTTGTACCCTCTGTCTACGATAAAAATATATGATAAATCTAATTAGCTCCATGTAATTTTCACAGCTGAATACATGAAACGTAGAACCGCGAAGCCCAAAAACACGCAGATATGTTTTGGCGCAGTGCACAGGATATCCATTGTCATACGCCGAATTGGTGAATTTGAGATGCAAGACTTTCAGATATGTATTCAGTTTCATGAGCTGATGATTGAGGAGGAAGTTGAAATTCGCAAACCTGTTGTGATCTTGGACTTGGGGAGATCGTTATCACTCTAAAGCAGAGGAGGAATGTAACTAGAAAAATGTAATTGGCGGGACAGTAGAAGCCCAAGGATGTGCAAGAGGTTCTGTTTTGATATCACCGTAGCTTTGCGCCTTATTTGAGAAGAAAGTAACACTAACATCTAATTATTATAGAAATTCAATAAAAAGTTAACAATATACTAACTAAATAACAATAAAATGATGGGAACCATCAAATATAATCCCAAAGGTTAGTAAAAATGTAAAGCTGCAAGAGAAAATATCTCTGAGCAAACCATTACATTTTTTATAATAATTAATTTTATTTTGGCTCTCGATACTAATCTAGGAGTACTCAAATCTGGAGCCCTATGCCAGTCCTTGTGGTACACCGAATTTGTTTCAAGGTACTGCTGCGGACTCCAGGATAAAATCTAGAATAACATTGGTAATCTCTAAAACTAAATTATAAGCACCAAAAATATATAATCGTTCCAGATTAGCACAACTGGAAGCTGTCCTTATTTCAAAACTAGGCTTTTTGGTTCAAACATTTATAAAAATATTTCTATATACTATGTAAACAATATTCACTAAAAACTAGACAGTTGATATTCGAGCAGATTTCGGAAGAGACTAACCAAACTATTCAATCGAAAATAATTTGTGTTAGATTGTTCCGAATTTGAAAAAGGCTTCTTTATCAATAAGACACATCAATGTAGATTCCAAGACGGGACAATTGTTTAAGTTCATTTGTCGAAATTTATTTTCATCTTCGGGTGAAAAAAAAAAACAAATCACATTCAACATGTGAACATCATTATAAAACGATTGGTGACAGCTCTGATTCGAACTGAAATGGAACAGTGGCATTGTCTAAAACAATCAAAAATACACAATCAATGATACAAGACTCGTCAAGTTTTAAATGTTGAGAAAACGTTTCAAATCAAGATAAAGCCCGATTAGCATACTTTGTTTGTCAATGGAAAATGTAAAAACGAGTATAATTTATGAATGTTAATGTCCAATCAGTGACAGCCGGAAAAATATAAACTTCAGTCACTGAACCAGTCCATATCTACTTCAATGAAAACGTCTTTATCCACTAGGTCAGCGAAGAAGCTGATGAAGAAATCAGACGTAATTCATCGCATGTTCTGTTGCAAAACGAAGAAGAAGAAGAATACAAAAGCGATAATCAAATCAATAAGCTGCAACCTGATTCCATCAATGACAACCGCAAAATAATCAATGAACCTACAGGATTATAAAACGTCACTACCAGAAGCTTAGAAAAGCCTAACGTACACGAAGTAATGCTGAAATATTCAATTCAATCAATGTCGATAGTAAGACCATTCTCCATTCAAGTACCAGTACAGCAAAAGAGTTCAATCAGTGACAACTGGAAGAACCTCACATTCTATCAATGTCAACCGCAATAATATGCGACAAAGAAACCTTGTAGTAATCTGTGAAGACCAAACATAACCTATAAAACTCACTTAGAATCTGTATACATGACGATACATCTTCCACATGTCGGTTCGTACTCAAAACCTTAACCTAAACAACCCCAAACTCATCAGAGCCGAAACCGCTACGACCTAATCATTTACCAGATCTCTTCAGCAACAATACATATCCGTTGTTGTCCTGTTGCATCACCTCCAAAGCAAACATAGTTTCTTCTTTGATGTGCTTCAGTACGTCGTCGTTCAACTGAACATGAATCGAATGCGGGCCCTCCACGTAGACATCACGTATCTGATCCCGAGGCAGGCCCAACATCGCCGAGAGCTTCTGCGCGAGCTCCGTCTTGCTGTGCGCAGATAAGAAGATGGCGTTGTATAGCGACGAGTTGTCGCGACAGACGTAGATTTTCAATTTGGGAGCGATGCTCCTAGAAATAACATTATTGTGTAGTCTGCTGTATATTGAAACGTTGGTCCTTCGAGCCGGATGCAGGAAGAAACAGTTCTTATATCCGGCTCGAAGGGCCAAAATGTTACATGAATTTTGTAGGGGTTCCATTACTGGTACGTTATCAATACAGTTTCGCTTAGTACGGTACTTACTTGAGATGGATGGAATTGTGCAGTCTGATCCCGTCTGCATCTCCGCATATTTGGATGAGATCGTCTCTGGACATTCTGAGCATGTCGTCTCCCGAAAATCTCCCGAATGTGTCTGCGTATTTTTCAAATCTGTTCGCGGTCAGCCATCTGGAGGTTTCTTCTGGTGACGATTCTTGGGTCAGATTCAAGTTGCTGTTGAGAGTCTAGAAATGAATACAGACGAAAAAATTTTACATATGGGAGTACATTTCTATCATGGATTATATAATAGAATACCTTATGGACGTGTCATCCGGCAGTTTAAAGGAACTATAAACATTTGACAATATTAGAATGATAACTGTCAATTTAAAAGAGTTGTTAGTGAACGTGAACATGGTAAAATATAACTAGTTTGGTTGAAATGTTGATCTAACAACTTGCCGAGATGAACTCGTGATAATGTTTGTAATCAAATTAGATATGCCCAGTTCTTATAGTTTTCGTGTTTCACGGAATTTTCAGCAACAAAAACATAGGCCTCATTTCTCACTACGATCCAATATTTATTTATATATGAGTTTATGCTGATTCGCCAAAAGCATTACAATTATAAAAATAGATTACTGTTAAATCATTTGAATTAGAAAAACACCTCTTTTCACAACATGGAAAAAATTGAAAATGGAAAGAGGTTGTTGAATGTTTTATAGGGATTGTTGAGATAATTTGCGAAGGCCGTAAGTAACAAGTGTAGAGTCTCATTTGCAAAGTCAAATGCTCATTACCAAATTCAATAGAAATACAAGCCGATTCATAGAAAACATTTTCTAACCTTCAACTACTCCACTTCATAAACAGTTTTCCTCAATACACTCCTCAAAACAATTTAAGGATCACTACTTTGTGAAGATCGTATACAAGAATAAGTTTTTTGATAAATACAGTAATGTAACCTTTAGAGTTAACTATTTCTGGTGATGATGGCCAGGCCAGAGTATACAGAAGGAATGAACGTTTCATTTCCTGCTGCTCATCTTCAAGGGTCCCATTTGGAGGTGGATCAATAATGAGGTGGGGTGCAATACCTCTCAATGATCGTACAGACCTTGTTGTCATCCGCAACGGATCCGTGACCGGCCAAAGATACGTTAACGAGGTACTGGATGTTCAGATATGCCACAGAGCAGAAACAGGAGGGCACACTTTCATTTTTATGCGCGATGAGGTCCGTTCCCACGCTGTGGGGATCGTGCGTCGTGGCCGGCTTGCAGCCCGGATCTGAATCGCATCTAACATGTCTGGGATCAACTGGAAAGAAGCATCCGAATCCGTGAAAACCAACCCACCACTTTGGATGAGCTGGAAGTCGCTCTTAAAGAAGAGTGGGAGCGCCTGCCTGAAGAAAACCTCAGGGGGCTCATAAGAACCCTGCCCCAGCGAATCCGAGCTGTGATTTCTGTCCGACGAGGAAACACAAGATACTGAGCTAATAATTGTAACACAAAAACAACTTTTTCTTTACTTTTGATATCGATAATTGAAGGGTTTTCATTTTGATTTTGGTAGTTCTTTACTTTTCTCACGTATACCCAATACAGAACAAAAT